CTTATTCAAATATGTAGTCTTGGTTAGACATGCTGCATTTACTGCCCACTTCTTTTATATCCTCACTAGAAGATTAGTGGATTTGTCTAGGGCTGCTTCAGGTGGGGACATGGACAGGAATGGGTGTCCAAAGTGGGCAAAGCCATTTCAGCTGATGTTGATGTGACTTTCAAGGCGGTGCTGGGGTGAAGTTGTGGGAAGTATTTGTTCTTCAGAAGCATGAGAAGGTGAGAGACAAGTACAAGCAGAAAATGCTCCAGGAGATAGCTCCAGGTAAAACACAGAGCTATGGGGAAAACCTTAGTTCCCGGCTCCTTGTTGCTAGAGGGAGGTGAGGTTGCAATTCTGAGTCTGCAGACACTGATGGGTCACTCCTGATGAATGAGGGTTTCTACAGTGACTTCAGTGACAGGTATGCCCTGGACCATGATGAGCCCTCTGGGTTTACTTCAAGTCATTCATAGGTAATTGGGGGAAGGGTGGTGCTTCCGGTTTTGCTTTTTTTCCAGATTCACATACTCTTCCTACATCTCCAGTGAACTTTCAGTCACAATGTTCCCTGGTGCTTTCTGGACTGAGTACTGTGTAGGCTGTGAGGGCTGTGACAAGGGCAGGTGTGGGAGCTGGCACCAGGGTGCCTACTTCTTCCCCCTTCCTGGCATAACCATCTTCCCCACCCCACCAATGGCAGGGTTGACCCTGGGACTTGCTGAGGCCCATGGACTGTGGGCCGACAAGCAAGAGAGCTGGCCCCGAGCCAGGCCTTTTAGAACTTTGCCCACAGGATCTGTGTTTTTGCCATTCCATGAGAAGATCCTCTTCTGGGATGCTGATAGTCCAGGGAGCGTGGGAGACTTGTGGTGGTGCAGACTTGGTTTCCCACAGTGACTTGGATCCAAGTCCAGCCTGGCCTGGTCTGGGTTCACCAACCTCCATCTCACCATGAACTCCTGAGTGAGAGTGCATGCTCACTGCTTTATGCCGTCCGTCCAGGGATGATTTGGGAGGCTGTGTTATTGTGACCGTTGGCAGCTGATGTGACCCACAGCTGTAACACAGTGTGATGTGGGCCACAGGGACACACAGAGGGCATCTGAGGAGCCACTCTTGGGGGATGGAAGCTTTGGGAACCTGGGGATGACAATGACTCCTTTGGACATCTTGTTGCTTTTTCCCCTGGAATGGTTTAGACCAGACAGTTAGATTGCAGAATCTCCACAGGACTGTAAGTAAAATAAGAGTTAATCCAGTGGTCTCTCTGAACTGTGGGGGATTGGCTCAAGGATCTCTAGGGCACCGAAGTCTGAAGGTGCTCCAGTGCCTCATGTATCATAGTGGGGTCTTCATTTCTAACCTGCGCTCATTCTCCTGTGTACTTTAAGTCATCTCTGGTTCACTCCTCATACCTGCTGTAATGGTAATGCTAGGTTAATGGTTCTGAGACTGTCTGGTTTAGGGAATCATGATATGGAAAGAGGTCTGTACATTTTCTGCAGGGATGCTGAGACAGAATCACCACAGAGGCCTGATCTCTCAACCATGTTTTCCATGTATAATGAGAAACCCCTTTGATTCCATCTGCTTCCTCCAAAACTGAAAAAGTGACTCTGGTAGCCCCTGCATGTGGATGTGTAGGTCTGGACCCAGACTTCCCGAGTGGCCCCTGACTCCAACCAGTGTCTTGCTGACAGTCCTGTCCCCTTCCCCGGGGTCCTGTACCTCCTCAGCAGCAGGCTGTGTCTTCAGAGAAAGCCTTTTTTTGGGTGGAATTTAGAAAAAGCAAAGCTATCTGGACAGAGATTCCATTCACACAGCTTTCAAGCAACAGATTTCCAAAGGGCCGTGTCAGTGGCCTGTATTCTGGCTGCACATCACAGTCACCTTGGGGAACATAAAGCATCCTAATTTGAGACTCTCCCTCTATGCTTTATTGGCCTGTGCATTGGTGGCTTTTGAGAGCTTCCAGGGGATTCTGATGTATGACAGGGCTGAGAACCCCCGGGGCCCAAATGGGAGCTTCCTAAGACCACCCTAAGTGAAGAAGAACCTGGTGTTCAGTTGTTCCCAACTCAGCTTGGGGTGTGCAGGTACATTTCTGAATGTCAAATTCCGATTAGTCTTTGAAATCGCACAAGGCCAAAGTGGCAATCACCACTGCAAACTGTTTTCACGGGCGTCCTTAGTGCCATCTTAGGGCAGCAGGGTGGGCTGGGCTTCTAAAAGCAAAAACATATCACATGAAGTACTGTGATAATTAGCCAAAGTAAGATTTGATGAATGGGCTGTATTTGCTTGGAGTTTTTCCATCCTGGGTTTTGCTTTCTGAGACATTTCTTCCTCTCTGTCCCTCAGACCATGTACCTCACCAATCCCATCTTCAGTGAGTTTAAGGTTGGGAAAAAAGCCAACACCCCACCCTGCTCAAGGGGATCTGCTCCCATCACAGGAAATGCCAAAGAGAGATGGAGGAATCATCAGGAAACATGTCCTCCTTTCAGTTATAGACATAGTCCAAAGTAGTGAAAGGTGGGTAGCTTCTCAGAGTGCAGATTCAGGGATGAGTTCTCTCAGCTTGAATTTTTTGTTTGTTTGTTTGGTTTTGGTTTTTGAGACAAGATCTTGCTTTGTAGTTCAGGCTGGCCCTCAACTCACTATGTAGCCCAGGTGGAGATCCTCCTGCCTCAGCCTCCCAAGCACTGGGATCACAGGCGTACACTACCATGCACGGCTCTCAGTGTGATTTTCATCTTGACCTGGAGAGATGTTATTGTAGCACTCCTGCTGGAAAGACACACATTCTTGGGAAGGCAGCTGAGGTAGCTGATGGATTAGCAGCCAACACCCTGGGACATGACATTCGGTGAGGATGTGGGACCCCGAGAACTCCACCTACAGGACACGAATGGGAGGAGATCTTATAACCTGTACTTCTGAAGCAATGAAGAGATACTTAGTCAAACCTGTTAATTATGATAATGTTAAGGAGGTAAACTAAAAAAATGAAATCCTAAAGAAAATGAAATCCTTCAGTGTTCTTTAAAAAAATAATTATTAATTTTATTTATTTTTTACTTTTTTATTAGTATATGTGTGTAGTAATAATGTTTACCTCCCTTGTGGGGAGTTGGTACATGAATGTAGACATCTCCATTCCTTTTTCATCCTCTTTCCCTCCCCTCCCTCAGCCCATCTCTTTCTCCTCTTCTCTTTTTGGATGCCTGTTTGTGGTACATGATGTGTACATTCCTTGTGTGGTGTCCGCACCCTACATAACACACTTTATATCCTTTTTTCCTTCCCTTTTCTTCCCTCACCCCTCCTTCCATAGCTTGGTCCCTTTCCCTTTGAGAAAGATCTATCTTCCTGTTTCCTATCTATCTTTTATTTTGCTCTTTCTTTACACTTTGGATTTCTTATAGAATAGAAACCATGTGATATTTAAGCTTGTGCGCAGTGTTCTTAAACTGCTTTTCCAAGGCCTTCAGAAAATATACCAATGCTGGCCTAGAATCTGGAAGGAAGGCTCTTAATGGCAGTAGGTTTTATGCCACAGTCTGTCCTAGATGGACAAACCAAGTCACAAAAGCTGAGGCAGGAAGAACCCCAGTTCCTGCTGTCCACCTTTGTGGAGGAGGCCTTCAGGGTCTTCAACAACACAGATCAGAAGAGGAGGCCAAGAAGGACTGGAGATTGGAGGAAAAGATGCAGGTCTTGCTGCCCCAATTCTGCTTCACCTCAGGGTAACCCACAGGCCCTGTAGATCTGCTGCCAGCTTCCAATGGGAGCTGTGAGGCTGGGTGGAAGCCAGTGTGCAGGGACTGCCCCAACCTTCTGAAGAGAGTTGAGTGGGGAGCACCCACTTCAAGCCCAGGTCTGAGTTTGGTTCTCCAAAGGGGAAATCGGCTCCTGGACTGAAGAGGATCTTGGCTCCTTCAGGCTCCACCCTGCCAAGGAAACATCATTGTTCTACCTGGGGCCTCGGGGGACCCTTGACACAGCAGGCAGGAAAACAGAATTGGACATCAGAGTTACCTACTCTGTCTTGAGTTCAGTTCTCTTGGCCTCTTGCCATGTCAACTGCGCGGAGACTTGAGGGTAGAGATAGGCGGGCTAAGATGAGAAGTGTTAACTTTTCTTCTCGGCTGTGAGGCTTCTTATACATCCAGTGGGTGCCTCTGTTTCTCTAAAGAGAGAACAGGTACAGGTTTCCATGGAGCCAGAGCAAGGGATTCACCTTGCCATGACTGTCCTGATTTTAAACTCCAACATATTCTTGATGTCCACTAAAACATGGCTCAAGCCTGGCATTGATTTCTAAAGATTTCTTGGGCATGGACTCATTAGATCTGCTGGGTCTCCTGTCCAGAAGAGAAACCTAATGGGATGCATGACCAGGTCCGGGGAGCCCAGTAGTCACCTAAGAGATGCCTTCCCCTGCATAGCTTGTATTCTTTCAGGGCTGTGATCCTGGCTCCAGGAAGCTCCTGTCATAGGGATTTGGTGACAGCTTCCAGCTTTTTGGCAATATCTTGGCTAAGGAACCCAAAGATGTCCATGATGCTAAGAAATAGGACTCTGTTACAATCTGTTACGGACTCACTGATTGTCAGGACTGCTTATCAAGATTTGGAGGATGACCCTGTGTGGCCCTGCCATACTAACAACTGGTATGCAGCCTGTCCAGGTTCTCCTGTCAGGAGTGTGACAGCTGGTGAGATTTCTGCGCCTTTGTCAGCAGGAAGCAGCTACAGACTTTGCCTTTCCCTGGCTATGATTAAGGAGAATAAACATCTCTAAAGGGCTCAGTGAGACAAAAATAAGAAAGGCCCCATTTCCCAACTGTGTTTTTCATCTATTACAAGAAGTAGGTGGGGTTTTTTTTTTTTTTTTTTTTTTTTTTTTTTTGGTACCTCAGTAGGTGGGTCTTTTGAAAGCAGGCAAAAAGACTTTCCTGTAGCCTCTGCTTTTGTGGTGGAGACAGTGAGCACCTTAGGTGAGAAAACCTTTTCCCCTGCATTCCTGGAGTGCCAGACCAGGAATTCCATTCCACACACAGACTTCCTTATCCAGAAGGAAGTGCTTGCCTCTCTGTGACTTCTGTCTCCAATTGAGAGGAGGAACTCAAGGCAGAGCAGGCACAGGAGCTTACTATGAGTCCGGACCCCCCATTCAGGGCAAACAGGTAATATCATGACCTTGGCTGATGGGGAAGAATGCGATTTAGTCTTCTGAGTGTTTTCCGTCCATGGTTGGTTGAATCTGCAGATGTGGAACCATCACCTGTAGAAGGCCAACAGCTCTCAGAAAAGCTCTCTGACCAGTGCCTGCTAGTGATGTACTCTCTTGTCTGTTTATTCATCGAACAAGAGTTGGGGGTAAAACTGAATACAGTGAAGCAGGCTCTTCGTGTGTGTTTAATGATCATGAAAACTGTGGAGATAACAGAGCCAGAGGGGAGCTGTGGAGTATTGGGATGGAAAGGTGCAGTTCTCCCTGGAGAGGCAAGGAAGAAAGCTGTGTGGAGCCCAGACCCAGAGCAGGAGAGGCTGTGAGCTGTGTCCTCAGCCAGAGGACTGGGGATATTGAGGCACAGTGCTGGAGAGACAGGGACTTAGGATATGAAGCCTCCATTCCCAGTGGCCTGTGTGTGTCCAGGGCTTTGACATTAGGCATTCTCAGCAAACAGAGATAGAGAGGAGCAGCTACAAAAGTTTTGAGTTTTCTTTTCTTGTTAGTGCCTATTAATTTACAAAATATTGGGTTTCAGAGTGTGAAAATGTATTTTGATTACCTGCTACCGTCTCTCCTACCTCTTCCCATCCTTTTCTTCCATTCCTCTTGTCTAGTAATAGTCTCCCTTCTGCTTTTGTAGCATTGTTTTAAGATTCTGCCTATCAGGGAGAATATGCAATGCTTGTCTTTCTGAGTCTGGCTTATTTTGCTCAACATGGTGATCTCCAGTTCCGTCCATTTTCCTGCAAATGACAAAATTTCATTCTATTTTACAGCTGAATAACACTGCCTTGTGTATTTATGCACCACATTTTCTTTGCCTACTCATGTGTCGATGAGCACGGAGGCTGGTTCCTAGGTGAGCCGTGCTGCAGTAAACATTGGCATGCAGGTGTCCCTATTCAGATGCTGACCAAAGTCCTTAGCAGATGTGCCAAGGAGTAGGGCAGCTGCACCAAAGGGTGGCTCCATTCTTAGCTTTCTTCAGGACTCTCCATATGATTGCCACAGAGCTGTACTAACTCACATCCCTCCAGCAGCACAGCAGGGTTCCCCACATCCTGGGCAACATTTACTGTTCTGTGCATTCTTATCATAGCTTTTCTGACTGGGGTGAGATGGAATCTCAGTGTAGTTTGAATTTGCCTTTCCCTGTTGGCTAAAGATGTTGAAAAGTTTTTCATATCCTTATTGGCTGCTTGTAATACTTCTCTTTGAAGTGTCTGTTCAATTCATTGGCCCATTGTTGATTGGGCTACTTGATTTTTTGGTGTTCAGTTTTTTGAGTCCTTCATACACTCTAGATATTAGTCCTCTATTAGAAGGGCCACTGGCAAGGATTTTCTCCTATTCTGTAGGGTGCCTCTTCACTCTGTTAGTTGTTTCTGTTGTTAAGCAGAAACTTTTTAACCCAATGTAGTTGTGTTTGTGGATTCTTGCTATTATTTCTTGTGCTACTGGAATCCTATTCAGGACTGTGATTTCCCCTGTGTTTTCTGCTGGCAGCATTGGAGTTTTAAGTCTTATTCCTAGGTCTTTGATCCATTTTGAACCTTTAAAAAATTTTTTTTTTGTACAGGGTGAGCGATAGGGATCTAGTTCCAGTCTTCTCCATATGGATATCTGGTTTTTCCAGCACCACTTGTTAAAGGGGGTCTCTTTTCTCTGGCATATATTTTTGGCTTCTCTGTCCAGAACCAGATGCCTGTAGTTGAATGGGTTTGTTTCTGTGTCTTCTATTCTGTTCCACTGGTCCATGTGTCTATTTTTGTGCAGTAGATGCAATTGGTACCAGGGATTGAACTCAGGACCTTGCACTTGTGAGGCAGGTGCGGTGCCACTAAGCTAAATCTCTGGCCCTCTGTACATGCTATTTTTATCAGTATGACTTTGTAGGATAATTTAAAACCAGGTATTGTGATGCCTCCAGCCTTACTCTTTTGGCATAGGGTTTCTTTGGCTAGCCTGGGTCTTTTTTGTGTCCATATGAATTCTAGGATTGTTTTTTCTAGTTTTGTGAAGAATGTCATTGGAACGATGAGGATTCCATTGAATCTGTAGGTCACTTTGGTAATATGATCATTTTAACAATATTAATTCTGCCAGTCCATGAGCATAGGAGGTCTTTTTATCTTTCATTGTCTTCTTTACTTTTTTCAATGTTTTGTAATTTTCATTGTAGAGGACTTTCACTTTGGTTAGGTTGATTCCTAAGTATTTTATTTTTGGTTCTACAGCTATTGTGAATAGAACTGTTTTCCTGCTTTCTTTCTCAGCTAGTTCATTATTGGTGTATAGAAAAGATATTGATTTTATGATGCTGATTTAATATCGTGCTACTTTGCTGAATTTGTTTGCTCTACAAGTCTCTTGGTGCAGCCTTTAGGGTCTTCTAATATGGATCATTCCATCTGCAAATGAGGATAATTTGACTTCTTCCTTTCTTATTTGTATCTCTTTCTCTCTCTCTCTCTCCTTCCTTCCTTCCTTCCTTCCTTCCTTCCATCCTTCCTTCCTTCCTTCTTTTAGCATCTCACTATGTAGTTCAGACTGGCCTTGAACTGACTATGTAGTCTAGGCTAGTTTTGAACTCTCAGTGATCCTCCTGCCTCAGCCTCCCAAGTGCTGGTACTACAGGCATGCACCACCATGCCTGGCTATCCCTTTTATTTTTTTCTCTTGCTTAATTTTCTAGTTAAAATTCCAGGTGCCTTACCGAATAGAGGAAATGCTTTCAGTTTTTCCCCACTGAGAAGGATTTTGGCTGTGGGTTTTTTGTTTATGGCTTTTACTCTATTGAGGTGTGATCCTTCAGTACCCAGTTTTTTCAGGACTTTGATTATGAAAGGATGTTGAATTTTGTTGAAGACTTTTTCTGCATCATTTGAGATGCTTCTGTGATTTTTATCCTTGTTTCTGTTCATGTGGTGAATTATATTTATTGATCAGTGTATATTAAACTATCCTTGTATCCCTACAAGGAAATCAACTTGATCATTGTGAATGATCTTTTTAATATGTTGTTGATTCGGTCTGTGAGCATTTTATTAAGGATTTTTTGTATCAGTGTTCACCAAGGATATTGGTGTATAGTTTTCTTTTTATGTTGTGCCCTTGTCTGGTTAGGGTGATGTTGGTCTCATAGAATGATTTTAGAAGTATTCCTTACCTTTCTATTTCATGGAATAGTTTGAAGAACACCAGCATTAGTTTTCTTTAAAGGTCTGGTAAAATTTGGCAATGAACCTGTTTAGTCCTGGGATTTTCTTTGTTATGAGACTTTTTATTACTGCTTCAATCCTATTGCTTGTTATTATTCTGTTAAGTTTTGTTTTTAATGTCCACTTGGTTCAATTTTGGTAAGTCATACATATCCAGAAATTTATGTTTCTTTTAGATTCTCCAATTTATCAAAATATAGGTTTTTAAAATAGTACCTAATGAATCTCTGGATTTCAGTAGTATCTGTTGTAACAACCCCCCTTTCATCCCTAACCATAGTGGTTTGGGATCATCTCTTTCTTTCGATTAATTTGGCTAAAGGTTTATCAATCTTGTTTATCCTTTCAAAGAACCATCTATTTCATTGATCTTGTGTATTGTTCTTCTAGTCTCTATTTCATTAAGTTCAGTGATCTTTATTATATCTTTCCTGTTATTAGGCTTGGTTTTGGTTTATTCTATTTTTCTAAGGCCTAGAAATGCATCATTAGGTTATTTATTTGAGATCTCTCCAAGTTTTGGGTGTAGAAACTAAAAGCTATACACTTCTCTCTTAGAACTGCCATTGCTTTGTCCCAGAGATTCTGGTATGTTGGGTTTCCAATTTCATCTGATTCTACAAACTTTAAAATTTCTTCCTGATTTATTCAGTGACCCACTGATCTTTCAAAATTGAGTTGTTTTGCCAGGGATTTAGCTCAGTGGTTCTGCTGCCTGCCTCACAAGTGCAAGTTCGATCCCTGGTACCAAAAAAAAAAAATTGAGTTGTTTTATCTCTATGTGTTTGTATAGATTCTGTAGTTTCCTTGTTGACTTCTAGTGTCATAACATTATGATCTAATAAGATACAAAAAATTATTTCAATTTCTTGTATTTGTTAAGACTTGCTCTATGACCTAAATGTGATCTATACCCTTTAGTTGAATGCAGTATTCTGGAGAAATCTGTTAATTCCATTTGATCTATGATGTGATTTAACTATGTTGTTTCTTTATTGATTTGTTTTTTGGATGACCTATCTACTGGTGAGAGCACTTATGTGTCCCTTTATTTCCAATAATGCTTGTTTTATGAAACTGGATACAGTGATGCTTAGTGTGTATACATTTACAACAGTTACATTTACTTGGTGTATTGTTCCCTTTATCAATATTCAGTGGAACTGTCTCTTCTGACTAATTTTGTCTTGAAGTCTGCTCTGTTGGATATGAGTGTAGCTACTTCTGCTTGCTTTTGGGCTCCATTTGTGTGGCATATTGTTTTCCCTCTTTTCACTTTCAGTCTCTGTGTGTCTTTGCTCCTGAGGTATATTTTTTGGCAAGCATCAAATAGTTGGGTCTTAATTTTAATCCAATCTTTCACTATGCATGTATGTATGTATGTGTGTATGTATGTATGTATATATGTATGTATTGAGACAGGGTCTTGTTATATAGTTCAGGCTGGCCTTGAACTTATGGTGATTCTCCTGCATCAGCCTCTTGAGTGCTGGAATTATGTGCCACCATGCCTGACTCAGTTTGTCTTTTAACTGGAGAATTAAAACCATTTATAATCAAAGTTATAGAATGTTTTGTGCTAATTCCTACCCTTTTGTTGTTTTTCTAATATATTATTCTTTCCAAATTCTCAATAGCTTATCTATGCTTTCTCTTAAATTTTTTGGATTCCTTTCTGTATTGGTTGCAATGCTAGCCTCTTGGTCATGGATTTGTGTAGTTTATGGTCATCTTGGAAAAATGTGCTTTGCATTTCCAAGAGTTTTCTTTGATTCTCTTTGTTGACTTGCTTCTTTATATCCTTAATTATCTTCCTTAATTCTTTCAGGTGTCTATTTGGATCTTCTTTGAAGTCATTAATCATTTAAAAAATCAGTCTTGAATTCTTTGGCATTTTATCCACTTCAATAATTTTGCCTTCAGTTACTCATGAGCTGAGGACCTTTGGAAGAGTCATGTTGCCTTATTTTTCTATAATTCTTGTGTTTTTTGTATTGAGATTTGTGTATGTGTTGAGATATATCTCTTCCACTTTTATGTGAAAGTCTTCTTAGACACAAGCATTCTTTGAGGACTGGGTCCCCAACACTGCTCAGAGAAGAGAAAACAAACCACAAGAACAGTGATAATACGAAAACAGGCACTGACATACAGTAAAAGCCAATGAAAAGGTATAACTATACCACTATTAACAATAGAAAAGAAATCATCATTACTAATACAGAGTAAATTAGAAGGCTAAAAAGTAGTAAATTTTGTGGGCGAGGTGGCACATCTCTGTAATCCCAGCACCCTGTCTCACAATTTAAAAAAATAGTAAAGTTTAAAGGTAATAATGAAAGGGGATGGAGAATGGAAAAATACAAAAAGTAGTAAAATTTGAAGAAAGAAAACAAGATGGAGGAGAGAAAAGTGAGATAAAAATGCAATTAAAGAATAAAAATATAGGTAAAGTTAGATTAAACTAACAGGAAAACAATGGCAAAGAAAAGGAAAAGAAAGAGAAGAAAAAAGGAGAAAACAAACATGAGAAAAAGAACCCCCCCCCCAATCAAACAAACAGAAAGCAAAACAAGCCCTCCAATTTCCCCCACACAGAGGGAGAGGGGTGGGGGGTAAAGGAAGCCTAGTGTTGGGATCCACCAGCACCTGCAATGTTGGGGTCGTAGGTATGGGGGGGCAGTGAGTCACCACTGAGCCTGTTTGCTCCCACACCCACATGGTGGCTGCTGTGTGTACGTTGAGTCCTGGCCCAGCTTTCCCACTGGGCAGGGTCAGCTGAGGGTGCTTTCTGCCTGGGGTTGCTTCAGAGACTTCTGGTGTTCATGTCCTTCTGTGAGCACTCCCGTCCTCAATAGTGCTGTGGCCTGGGGTTCTTGTGGTGCCCCGCTTGCTCCAGATCCTCTATGTCTGTACCCCAGGCAGGTGGCGAATGTTCCAGCATGTTGGCAGGCAGGGAAAGCCAAGGCCCACTGAGTCCTGTGCTGGAAGGATACAGTGAGGGAAACCTCACAATCTGCCCCAGCACTTTTAGAACTAGCATCTTCAGAAGACCACACAGAGAGGGCCTGGCTTCTCACCACAGGGGTGTCCTGCCCACTGCTGTGCCCTTCCCAGCCCGAGCTCCCTGCTGCTTAACCTTCTTGGGTCTGTGACCAGCATCCACCTCCTGTGATGTTTGTGTGTGGCTGTCTCCCACATGCAGTCACTGTGGCAGAGGGGCCCAGAGGCCCTGAGCTGCTGAGCTCTGTCTCCTCCTCCAGGATGTGGCCAGCAGGACATTAGATTTCTACTGCCTGTGTGCCTTGGAAGTTGTCGGGAGCAGTGTATGACGGAAGTGTGCTTGGTCTGTGACTTCTGATTCCCAGAGTGGCTCAGTCTCAAACAAGAAGCCCTTTCTCAGAGGGACACCTGGTTCACCTCTCTGATATATGGTGGGCACCTTAGTGGATTTCTCCTCCAAAGCAAGGCTGCTGTGCAGGAGCAGTCACTTTCAGAGTCAAAGCCCACACTGGATTTGCTCCTGTTGTTTATCCCCAGCCTGGAGGAGGGGTCCCCTCCCCGGCAGACCCAGGGCTGCCATTCTTGACTACTTCCTTCTTTGCTCTAAGTTGTCTTCTGTTTCTCCATGAGTTTTAGGTTTCCTGTCAGCTTTATCTCTATCCCTGGGGCTCTTCTCTTTCTCCTTGTGGAGTAGCTATTTATCCCTTATCAGAGGCCCCTGTGGTGGGTTCAAATCTCCTGCTCAGTGCTGTGACACGAGGTTAAAAGAAAAACTCAAAGACAGAATTAGAGAAGTGGGGAGCCAGAATGACCAGTGCTTGTGCAAACAAGGCTGAACAAGCAAAGGTCTGAACACCCAGAGCTGTTGATATTCATTGGTGACATCATAGTTAGATTGAGGTAAAGAGGCTATATGGAGGGGCTAGTGGAGTTGCTATGGATAGCTGCTGATGTAGACAAGGCTTATAAAGGAAGAGACAAAGCATTCTTGAATTATGAACAGAACAGAGAAAATATAGGTTGTGGTTAATAATTAATCTTGTCTTTTTGTGTATAGAAGGTTTCAACTCTGGGAATGGAATTTGGGTGTGAGTCACTCTGACCTTGGCCCGTAGGCTTTGACTAGACTCATTTCTATGAACAACCAATTGCTGGGTTAACTCTTTACAGCCTGCACTGCTTACAGCCTGCTTTGGGCATAATCAGTGGTCAGTCCCCCACAATCCCAGGTGTCTTGATGCCAGGTTCCAGAGAAACTGTGACCTGCTGCTTGCTTTGTTAAGTCCTTCTTGAGTTTTCTTATTTATTTAAAAAATATTTTTATTAGTACGTGTTTGCAGTACACTTCCTGTGTGGAGTTGGTGCATGTACAGGACGCATCTTAATTCCTTTCATCTCTCTTCCCCTCACCTCTTGATCCCCTTCCTATTTGAGAAAGATCCATCTCCCTACTTCCTATCATCTATCTTTTATTTTGCTCTCTATTTATGCTTTGGGTGTCTCACATAAGAGAAACCATGTGATATTTAAGCTGTGTGCCTGATTTATTTCACTCAGCATTATGATCTCAAGGTGCATCTGTTTTCTTACAAATGACTCAACTCTATCCTTCTTTATGGCATAGTAGTACTCCATGCAGTGTAAATACCACATCTTCTTTATCCAGTCATCTGTTGATGGATATATAGGCTCCTTCCAAGATTTAGCTATTGTGAGTTATGCTGCTATAAATATGAGTGTGCATGGATCGCTGTAATATGATGTCTTTAACTCTGTCAGGAAGAATTTAGAAGGAGAATAGCTGGGTCAAGTGGAATTTCTAGTTTTATTTTTTTATTTAAAAAAGTACAAGGAAAAAGTGCTCCCATTATCAGGTGAAGCTTCACGTGCCTGACATTGGCACTGGCGTCAAGGGCTTCTTCCTGTGGGGCTTCACAGCTCCTGATGAGCTCTGTCCCCTCCTCCAGGATGCAGCCTGCTGGACATTGGATCTCGACTTCTTATTTCCCCCGGAAGCTGCTTGGAGCAATATTCATCCTGTACACGCTGATAATGGGTGTTTCTGCCTTCACCACTCCGTCCAAGGAGCACACAGGTAAGAAACAAAGGATGGGCCTGCAGCTTCTTTGGGGAAAACACTTACCTAGGGAGGCTTCCTTATCAAGAACGAGGCACAGATACTCATGCCTTTGACAGTGGCAGATGCTGGTCCTCACCCACCTTTGCTGTATTCTGGGTGTGGGATGCAAGGAGCAAACCAAACACATGGTGAATTTGCCCTTCACAAAGGGAACCTTGGAGCTTAAACACACAATCTGTCAGAACTAAGTTTTTCTGTCCAAATTCAGCAGGGATCTACTTTTAAGGTCAATAAGTTAAAAAAAATGGCCTAACTTTTAAATCACTTCTTTTTGGTTACCTATGAAGCTACATGAACCCTTTGGACAGAGTGTAAATTGGAATTGACTGTCACCCTGAATTTGTCATTTGGGAATTTTGCACTCATAGTAACAGCGGGTACTTGAACTGCTGATAGCAGAACTCATGATAATAACAGGACAGCAAGGGTCCAGCGGGAGGGACTCAGGTCTTCCAGGTGTAGGTCACAGTATGGGACACTGGCATCTTCCTCCATTGCTCCACATCTCTCTTCCAGAACCAGGCACTGGCTGAGGTCCAGGGAGGTCTTGGGGATCTGGGTAGGTTGGGGACCTAAAGCCTGACTGTCCTCTCTCTGTCTTGCAGTGACCGCAGGCAACTGCTCGTTTCGTGGTAAGCATTACAAAGTGGAGCTCAGGGTGGCCAGTGAGCCTGTGGTTCTGAGGTGCCCCCTGGTGTGGCCTCAGTTGGGGGCCGCTGCCAGTCCCCAGGACCTTGTGACCTGGCGAAGAAACGGCTCTGCTCAGAGGCTCCCAGGGGCAGAGCTGAGGATGCAGGCCAAAGAGAGTGCCCTCTGGATCCTACCAGCTGTGCAGGGGGACGCAGGCACCTACGTCTGCACTGTCAGGTGGGTCCCTCGGGATGGGGGGCACCGGGGCTCTGGCAGAATGGACGCTTGTGATGCTTTTCGGCAGTAGTTAGGATTTTAGAATCCACTGAGCAGGTGTGAATCCCCATGAGGGCCCTGGCTTCCCTGGAACACCTCTTGCCCAGAGGGTCTCTTAACTCTTTCCTCCTTCCCTTTGTTTAGTCCTTGCTCAGTGTCACCTTTGTGGCAAGCAGGTCCCCACTGTCCTCTCCTTCCCCAGCTGTTACTTTCTAATAGTGTTTTCCCCGAGGGACATGTCTGTGTGTATTCTTGTGTCCAAATTCTGTCTACACTCAGGACAGGGTTCTAGTCTCCTTTCTTCACTGATGAACGCGCATAATAAGGACACAAAAAATAGATGTAGAATCCCGAGCAGAATTTTAGAGCTGGGTGGGATCTTAGGAATAAATTAAGCCAGCTGCTCATTGTACAAGCTAGGGAACCAGACTTGCTTAGAAAGTCCCCTGGGGGTGGGTGGAGGGGCTGACACTGAATTCCTTCCTTTTGTTCTGTGGCTTTAAAAAAGATTGTAGTAAAACTCACACACATCATAAAATTCATCAATTTAACCATTTCCAAGTTCAGGGACACTGAGTTCGTTCACACTGCTGCATGGCCATCCCACCCTGCACCTCTCCAGAGCTTTTCCATCTTCCCAGCCTGAGACTCTGTCCCTATCAAACCACAGCCCTGTCGCCTGCCCATCCCCAGCCCTGGAAGACACCACTCTGCTTCCCGTCTCCATGAATTCCACTTGGGTTTCCAACCTCAAGTTGACCTCTTAGTGGCCACACAGATTTGGGAAATTATTTAAATTTGCATCTGAGTTTCTTCACCTGAAAATGATACAATAATAATTCCTACCACATAGGGCTGAAGAGTGAATGAAATAATGTATGTGAAGCCCCCAGACCAGTCTCTGGCAGGGCCCAAACATACCGTACATTTCCGCCTCAAGGACTGTCTTTTAAGTTTGCCCTGTCTTTAATAAAATGTGTCCTACTTTCATTTCTTCAGCTTATGGTGAGATTATGCACTTTTTAGGTGAGAGTTAACTTTCTGCATTTCTTTGTACATAAAATATTTGCTCATCAATTTTTCTTTTTTTGAGATTAGGTATGAAATATAATACAGATATTGGCCTTCCATATTTGAATTAATTCTTTTTTCTTTCAGGTAGTAACCTTTGATCACATCTCTTTCACATATATTTTTCACATTTGGTCACTTCTTTGGATGCATATTGTTATATATTTTGCTGTGCAAGTAATTGTTATCCCATGAAAAAACTCATCCTCTGTATTTCTTCCTGTGTTTTGGCCACAGCCAAGATAGTTATATTGTTATATTTTTCTACATTATTTTGCTTTAGCTTTTGGGTGGGGGCCATTGAACCTAGGGCTTTGTGCATGCTAAGTGTGCACTCTGTCACTGAGCTATATCCCAGCCCCTTGTTCCTCTACTTTAAAAATTAGTTTTAAGTCTGCCTTCCATCCTTCTGCCCATTTCTGTCATGTTTTCAGCAAGGTCATGCCTCTGAAGTTCCCCCATCTCTGGAGTCTTATTTTTGGTACTAGGGATTGAACTCAGAAGCCCGTGCTTGCAAGGCAGGTGGTGGAACCACTGAGCTAAATTCCTGGTCCATCTCTGGGGTCTTTAGAGAATTGTGGTACCAAGATGAGGAGCAGGCCAACAACGAAAATTGAAAACCAAACAAACTTATCAAGTTACTTTCCCCACACAGTCTTGCAGAAACCTTTTCGATGCCATTTGCTCAGTTCCTGGCAGTTCTGGATGCTAAATGATTCCCAAGGGAAGCAAAGGGAATTTTCCTTTTATGGAAGCAATCTCTCCATTTGGATGCGGCTCCTGGGACCATGAAGTGGGAGTGTGTTGGGGCTGGGATCGAGGAGGGAAGACTCTGGAAGGTTTAAGTCCTTTGGAAGAGGATGCAGGGGTTTCTTTGTGACCCTTGCTACCCTGGGTGTGGGCCCATGAAGGGGCTTTAGTGAAAAGCTTAGGACACATCCTTGCTTCTAAATAACACTTATGATGTGATGGTCTAGTATCCCAAGGGTTTAAGAGGGAAAGGAACACAATACTAACCAAAGAAACACAGACACTGTACTTATAAGGGAGTAGGAAAATTATTCTTAACTTTATTTAGTTTTGCTTCTGTTTTGCCTTGCCATTTCTTATTGTCTTTTTTCCTTTTAAATCAGAGATGCTTCTCACTGTGAAGAAATGTCCATTGAGCTCAAGATTTTTGATGATGTGGAAACTTCCCTGCCGTTCATCTCTTATCCACAAATCCTAACCTTGGGAACCAACAGCATGTTAATGTGCCCAGACACACTGGATTTTGCCAGAGACAAAGCTGACAGGAGCATTCGGTGGTACAAGGTGCATCTTCTAAAAATTCCATTTCATTCAAATGGGTTCTGCCACCCACAAAAAAGATGTAGAATACCCATTTCTGAAGACAATGCATTTGTTTTTATTTCTATAATACATACTCTTATATGTAAAACAAATTTAAAAGGGCATAATTAATACTTTCTATTTGTCCATAGTGGTTTGGGTAAGGTTCCTCAAAACAGTGTTTTGTGAAGACAGAGTATAAAGTAAATCCAGAGTAAATTACAGCTGAAGAAAATAGCTTTTTACTCTGTAATTTGTTTATAAAAATTTAGAATAAATTGTTAGTTTATATAATGAATTTATACACATATTAAAGAGATTTTTTATAAAAGCACATCACAAGCACATGACTCCTTGTGTTAAAGGAGTAAATATAAACACAATTTCCCCTTGAGCTGCTTGAACAAATATTGAGTTAAGAGTCATTTTAATGGCTCGTAGTCACTATCATCAGATTAGTGCCCAAGCTAAGGATGGTTGTTACTTTAAAAAATTCTTCTTTTAATTTTTTTCATATATTTCATGACATCTGACCATTATCTAACACCCAAATTTCAGTGTTGATAATGTTTTCCTGGGACTCAGCCACTTGCATCTGTTTATATATCGTCTGTGACTGCTTTCACACCGCGTAGACATCTGGACACAGAGACATCTAGACTCTGAGTGAAGTCCCTGAGATATTTCCTATCTGGCTCTTGCTTGAAAATGTTTGCCAACCACTGATGTCAATTGACCACAGATTGATACTGAAAAGTGTGATTATTTGTGTAATCATTGACAGGAATTAACCCTTAATGGGCTATTCAGTTCGTATGGATATCAATATTTATTGATTTATTTGAAACAGGGTCCACTATGTAGTTCAGGCTGACCTTGAACTCACTATGTAGCCCAGGCTGGCCTTGAACTCATGGAAATTCTCCTGCCTCAGCCTCCCAAGTGCTGGGATTACAGGCATGCGCCACCACACCCAGCAAGGATATTAATTTGATGTTGGAACTTTGAAGTGATTTTCTGAAGGTGGAGGAAGGTAGCCAGCTCCCATGATGAGCTGGGAAAGCAGTAGAGGTCCTTTTCTTGGGACTTAGCAGAGCCCACAGAGAACCTGTGAAAGATTTTATGGGACAGGAAAGAGCACAGATCTGAGTCAGGGACCTGGGCTTAGAACCTTGTTCCTTCATTTAGCCAGAGCTGAGTTACTTCTCCTGAATCTGTTTCTGCTATAAAAAGGCAACTAGGAACCCCCACTGCCTGGAGCTGTTTTGAAGGTTAAATGGAGAGATGTGTACAAAGCAGCTGGCACAGGGCACGGCATACACATGGTGCATAATACGCAGGGGTGGAGAAGATCACGATGGGGCTTAGCATTACTGGTTCTCTCTGTAACAGCTAAGCTCTATAGAACAGGAGCTGAGGACAAACCTGTTCTAACCTCCCCAACAAGCAGCTCACTGTCCCTGTCCCCACTTTATAGATGGCAGGAAACATAAGGAGCCTACCCAGCGCAACACAGCTGGTAGGCAGCAAAGTCAGAACCCTGGCCCAGGCCTCACACCCATGCCAGCACTGTGGCACTGGGCCCTGTGTCGATGAGTGACAATTCCTGCAGTGAACAATGTCATCTCCTCTTCTAATTCAGTATACTGTGTCACAGTACTCTATGAGCCCTGTGCTGGCCATTTGGGTTTTTTCTGTGTGAGATTCTGAAATGACTCAGGGTTATATTTGACTGTTGTAAGCTTTTGATCATCATGGTTTTAGAAGATATTCCTTAGGGTCTTTTCTCTCCCATTCCATGTCTTCTATCTTCCTGGGGCCCTTGCTTTTTAGGGTTCTGTTCCTTAGAGGACCCACAGAACTTTGTGTCTATGTGAAGGATGTGGACTCACCTCTCCCATTCAGATTGTTTCTTACATATTTTTCTCTATTATAACTCCTAAAATTGAAATGATCCTAAAGTAATTACTGAAGCACCATCTCTTCTGAATACTGGTGTCCATGTCATGATGACTCTTTTTTTTTTTTGGTACTGGGGATTGAACTCAGGACCTTGTACTTATGAGGCAGACGACAGAACCACTGAGCTAAATCCCCAGCCCCCATCATGATGACTCTTTAATAGTGATCTTGAACATTTCCCAAGACCAGCGGAAGCAGTTAGCCAATAAGTATATCTGTATTTTAAATAGCCTATTTTGTCAAAGAACAGCTATTTTTTTCATATTGGTACTTAAGCAAATTTCCTTTAAGTATTATGGCTAAACAAATCTGGACATCTTATTGGTTTTATATGTTAACAGGTTCTTTTTCCTGAAATTCAGTTAAAAGTGTGCTCAAAATACAAAATTGGCAAAGGAAACACCAGGGCAATTGTTGGATTGCAAATTCAACATTGGTTGATAATGACGAAGCGATTCATGGCTTCGAGATATATGTTAGTAATAATATAACTTGAGAATATGTTTCTCTTCAGGGTTCTGTCCTCCTGGGTGGAGACGGTGGGAGGTTTCACACTGTGGAGGAGAAAAGGCGCTTGCTCATAGTCAATGTGTCCATGGAGGATGAGGGCTACTACAGATGTGTGCTGACTTTCGCCCATGAGGGCAGGGAATACAACGTCACCAGGAACGTCAGGCTCAGAGTCCACAGTGAGTACCTGCCACTGAGACACCCACCCTTGTTTCAATAAAGAACCTTCTAAGAGCATGTTAGGTTCACAGAGGATTCCTTGAATGGATTTGGTGTGAAGGACAAGGGCAAACAGATAATCAACGCTCCTGATCTGATGAGACCTGGGGCTGGCACTTTGAAAGGTATAAATCAGGATATGGTTGGGGGAAAGTTGAATGAGTCCTTGGGCAAGCGATAGGTTCTGAGGTGGATGCTAAAACTCACCACTAGAGGGAGCCAAACAGTGGCTTTCTTGGAAGGTCCCAGAGGGGGTGGATCAGACCACAGCAGCCATAACTCGTGAGTAATTCTAGGGTGCTAGGACCTGATTAAAGATTTCCACTGGGAGAATTTTCAGTGGAAATTGCCCTGATTTTTGTTTTCTCTGATCTGTGTCCAGTTGTCCTCGACATAGGTTGAATGTCCCTTATCTGAAAGGCCTGAGACCAGAAGCATTTTGGAATTTGGATTTTATTTCAGATTTTAGAATGCTTGGATTTACATAATCATATATCTCGAGGATTAGATACAAGTCTAAACATGAAATTAACTGATGTTTCATACACATCTTATGTACATAGTCTGGAGGTAATTTTATACAACATTTTAAATCTGCATGTGGCACAGTTCCATGATGTGAGATTTTCCACTTGTGGTATTATGTCAGCATTCAAAAAGTTGAGCATTTTGGAGTAATTCAGATTTCAAAATTTTGAATTAGGGATGCTCAACTTGTACCAGGATTGATTATACTTAAAAATACTGTGTGAAGAAGGGTTGCTGGTATTTAGCATTTGTTCCCAATTTACTCTCTACTCTGGAGTGCCGGCCCCGGGGCTCAGTGCATGGAAGAGGATGCGTGTGAGCTCGGCACTCTGCATATTCCTTACACACCGAAAGCTAACACAATTGGAGTCTTCTAAGGGGGCTTCAGAGAGATTTGTAAACCTAGTAAGATTAGATAATTGGTCTATGAGAGGAAAGATCTCTTACAGAGAACCCAGAGAGTCAGTGTAAGGAACTTCACACCTTCCATTTGTGGAAGTCACTAGATTTCACTTTTTACTTTTCCTATGAGAATTTATTCCTATTAACTCTTGTTGATGGCAAGGCAGATCTTCGAGGCTTCTGGTCCTTGAAGTTCCCTTCTTACCCTGTCTTGCAATATCACGCAGGAACGCTAGAGGGCGACCGACCTGCATATTACACAATGACCCTGCAGTTCAGAGGTTCTAAAAGGGGGTTCCTGGAAGCAGAGTTGTGGCACCACTAGACATGCAGCATCTCAGGTCCGCTGCAGTCCTGCTGCACTGGATACTGGGCCTCGGGGGCTGCCGTTCGTGTTTGACAGGCCCTCACCTAGCTGGTGTGCTGCACCCCAAGTGTGAGATCCACTGAGGCGTCCAGTCCTGAAGGCCTGCTGCTCTCCCTGGTCACCCCAGCCCCCATACGGCAGCTACGTGCCTTTAAGGGGGAGGAAAAGCCTTAGGGTACAGTTGAGGGTACCCTGGCTCCTCAGGGTGGGTGTCATGGTGCAGAATGCTTGTCCACGTGAGGACCTCAAAATGCTCCTCAGGGCCCATGAGGCCAGCTGTGGGACAGCACCATGCCAGCTGTTCTTTAGGCTCCATTTCCAGTACGCAGTTCACTTGGGCTGGCTCTAATCCCCAGAGCTCCACCTCTGGACCAGTTTATCTCCTCAATGCCCACCACATTCTCAGTCCTACTGGGTCCTTTGCTCGTCGCCCAGCGTGGGATCCGCCTCACACGCAGTGACCCTTCAGTTTTGGTGGTGGCATTTTGGAGGGGTGGCAGAGGCCTCTGGGTAGAACCTACCCCATGAATCCCTGGGAGGGGAATGGTTCATTGTTTATCACATGGCCTGGACGAGGAGGCCCAGGCAGAGGAAAGTGCAGTGTGGCCTCTGCCAGGAACCTCTCTGCTGGGAAAAGAACTGGCTGCAGTCTGTTTTGTGGAGAGCCAGTTTCCTTTGCCAAACAAAGGCAGGGCAAAGGACAACTTAGTTAATTAGCCAAACAATGGACCCTGAATCTCAGTTTGAAATGAAGGTGAGTTCCCTAATGGAATCTCTTTCCTTACCTCTTTCTCAGAAAGAACCAACACCGTTCCTGTGGTTATTTCTCCCCTGGACACCATATCTGCATCTCTGGGTGAGGACTGCGAGACTGCAACCCATGACCCCCGATGCTGCCCCCCCAGGCCTGGCCTGGGGGCCCGCGTGTCTGTTGAGCACACAGTCTGCCCCCTTTGGGGTGCAGTGTGCCTGGGTAGAGGCCTGAGAACCCCAGCATGTGGGGCTGAGATGACAAATATGAAGCAATGTCCTTCGCAAATTTGTTAGAAACAGCATTATTTGGAAGCAAGGACACTTTGCTTCACGCAGACCCTACCTACAAAAGTCTAGGTGTAACCCGCGGGACATTTGGCAGAGTTACTTACTGTAGGACAGGATTAGCAGCATGGGTCCAGTCGTAGCCAGCACCTTTAGTACATTTGAAATAATTCATGTTACCAAATGTTGTTTAATGCTCATCGTCTCCTAAAATTCCATTTGTAAAGCACAGCCAGCAGTGACAAGATAGTTTGTTGCTACCAAAACTGTTGGCCAGCTGGCTAGACAGCAAAATGACCAGCCATCTGCCGCCTGCCTCACAAGCACAAGGACCTGAGTTTGATCCCCAGTACCAAAAAAAAAAAATTACCAGCCAGTTTCCTACTTGTTTTTCTTTTGAGACAGTCCAGTCTGGCTTCCAGCTGGCAATGATCCTCCTGGCTCGGCCTCCTGAGGGCTGGGGCTACAGGCATGTGCCACCACGCCCAGCTCCATTTTAAATGTTATTTGGAGGCCGGGGGGAGGAAGCTTCTCTCCACTTTAACTATGGGAGCAACATTTGGAACCAGAGCAATGAAGATGCTGGTTGGTGCCTGCCACACCCCAGCGCCCTGCTCCTCGGAGCTCCCCAGTGGAGGGGTCCAGTCCCCACCAGTTGCTTTGAACACAGACTGTATGTGGTGTTGTCACATGATGGGATCTATTGGCCACTGTAGCCGAGGGAGGTGCACAAGGTCACTGTGGTGCCAGAGAGTGGAGGAGAGATGGCATTTGAAGCTTGAAGCAGAGAGGTGCATCCAAAGGCAGAAGAGTTATTCCCAGGAGGAAGAAATGGTTGGGCAAGATTTGCTCTTCTTTCCTCTCTCCTCTGCCTTGATGGGTCAGAGAGCAAAATGGCGCATGCCTGTAATACCAGCTCCTTGGGAGGCTGAGGCAGGAGGATCATCATGAATATGAAGCCAGCCTGGGCTACATACTGGGTCCTTGTCTCAAAAAAAGTACAATAATAAACAGAATGGCTAAACTTAAATGAGAGACACCTTGGAATGAGACTTTCCAGGGGAATTAATGTTAGGATTGAGACCAGCAAAGGGAACAAAGAATTGCACATTGATCTGGATCATTCAAGGTAGCTGAAATCAGTGTGGAAGACAGCAGCCCTTGAATTCAGGATGCCTGAGGGGTGGAGTGGCCTTTGTGGATCCACTGGATCTCATGTACTTCCAGGTGTCACTTGCTCTGAAGAGCCATTGGAGGAATGGGTGTCACTTGGTAAATAGTAAAGCTCTGCATGAACAGAATGGTTTGGGTACAGGAAGTTTCCTTCTAAGAGAAGAACTGGGCAGCAAGGGGTGCTTGAGGGGTGGATTGGCCCCTCTTCTGGTGCTGGGGTCTGCTGGCTGATGCCTATGTCTTGCTCTGCACAGGCTCGAGACTGACAATCCCATGTAAGGTATCTCTGGGAGCTGGCACGCCCTTGACCACCTCGCTGTGGTGGATGGCGAACATCACCCAAGTAGAGAGTGCCTACTCCAGGGGACGTGTGACCGAGGGGCCGCGCCGGTGAGTGGCTGAGGGTCTTCAGCTGTCAGGCCTCTTGAGGCGGGGGGGGGACTGTTCCTTCTGGAGATGGTGTCATGCCACTTCCTCAGTGTGACATCCATACGACAGTGAAAGGAAGTCTTTCTTAGATTCCAGACTGTTGGATTTTCAGAATTTAAAAAAATTGAATTGTGTTAAAAAATTAGTTTGATTGTCAAACTTCCTCTAGACCTATGAGATATGATAAAAACTGTGCTGTGTGCACTTATCCCATTGTTCTTGCTACTTTCTGCAGCAGCTCTGGAGTCTTCTTTTGTGAATGTCTTTAGTTGTGCTGTCATGGCTGCCTTAATGTCCTGAATCAATTCAAAAGGTTTCCCTTTCATGGTCATTCTGATTTTGGGGAAGAGCCAGAAGTCACATGGTGTCAGATCAGGTGAATGAGGTGGATAAGGACACACCACAGTGTTTTTATGAGCCTGCTTTTCCACTGGATGGCACTGGGCAGCATTATTTACCATATTTTTGATCACATCTCATAAAAACATGAAAAACTTCTAGAATTGCTTTGGAAAGTGGCAAGAATGATGGGATTACTGTGTTTCAAAACAAGAAGGATCAAGCAAGAATTCTGAGTGAGATTAATAGCAATGTATTTTTTACAGTAATACATTTAAAAAATTTAAACATTCACCATGTATTTTGATCACTCCTTGTACATGAGTTACGTTGCAATGGACTAGTTGGTATGGATATTGCATTTTGTAGATGTTTAAGCATTTACTTCCTGATTTTTGCAATTTTAAAAAATATTCTGGAGATGGTACATTTCCATTCCACACTCTACCCTCAAACATGTTCAGAAACCCTTATGAGAATTCTGCGATCTGGCCCCTGAGTCTGTACAGTGCCTCTCCTGCTTGCCTTTGCTGGGGAACCAGGGCCTTCCAGGGTGTCTAAGAAATATTAATAATTAAAGAAAGAAAGAATTTAGTTCTCATGAGCACTCATCTCTGGAAACTATTTTCTCAGTCTGAAACTAGAGCAATCAGATGTTGTACATGGGGGCCGTTGTGTCTGAGGAAGGGAGACCATTCAGTGTTCCAAATCAGAAAACATTTTTAAAATAATAGTTTTCATACTTTGAATGAGTCTGAACTTTTGCTGGTCTGTTTTGAAAGACATCAAAAATGTTCTTTCTGGACGCAATGCAGTGGATGGAAGTGATCCGTGGTCAGCACAATCCTTCCCGTGCAAGTCCTTGTTGTGAAAGACTTGGCCTCAGCCAGGGCCCCTGCCTTGGCTGACTCAACTGTTCATTTGCTAAAGGAACATGCTTCATCCCCTCCAGACAGAGCAGCGCTAGTCCTAGTGGATCCACTCCATGATGTTTTTGCTCATATGCGTATACAGCAGCCAGGGCCCTTGAGCTCTGCAAACATTGCCAATGGCAGCCCTTCCCCTGGCCTCTGGGCTCTCCGTTTCTGGAGTGAGAGTGAGCAGCAGAGATCAGGAGGAGATGATGTTGAGGGCTGGAGTCCTGGAAACTCCCCACTCTTCAATCTGTGAATAATCTACTGATGAGAGAGTCAAGTTTCCCCACACTAGATGTTTCTGTTCCCACGGCTGGATCTTTGCTCATCAAAGGCCTTAAAATATGAAAATTTCCATTATCTAAACCAAATGAATATGCTAGTTCTTGCTGTAATACGAGGCCTATTGCAGTGACCTGCATCTTCAGTGACACTGTGACTTGAGGGCAGGCTTGGAAATTCTCCCAAATAAGTAACAAATGGGAAGGCCCTTTCTTCCGATTTTAGGAAACTTGAAGTTAATGTAAGCATCAGGGCTTCATCTCACTGGAGGCTGCTGTTACTGGCAACCTTGCATTTGGTACATCATGGTTAAGTGAATGTTTTCTCACCCAGGGAATATTCAGAAAATGGTGAGAACTTCATTGAAGTGCCATTGAATTTTGATCCAGTCATAAGAGAGGATTTGAACACGGATTTTAAATGCATTGTCTCTAGTACGGTGGGTTTGCAGACGCTGCGTACCACAGTCAAAGAAGGTACGTGTCTGGGAGGTGCTCAGGGGGAAATGACTGGAAGGTTCTGTGATGTGAGACGAAGCTCTGGGGTCTGCAAGCAATTCTTAGGTGGTCTTCTTGCACTTCTGTTAGTGGACCACTGGAAGCAAACCTCCTGGCTGTCCAGGTTTTTAAATTTTTTTCTGGTAAGGTAGAGATTGCGCATTGGGAAATTAGACTCAAATAAAAAAGTTGCAAGCTGGTTTTTGGAAGCACATAAAATGGGTCTGCAATGACCTTTTAAATAGCCTCTGTCCTTTCATGGAACTGGCTTGGATCATGATGATCAGCTGTCCCTGTGTGGCCTCTAGAAGAGGGTGGATTGTTCTTTAGCTTGAAGTTGAAATACTCCATCCTGCAAGAGTCAGGGACTGGGAGATAGCAGGGTTCAGGGCAGCTTGAAGTTCAAGAGCATTAGACAGCAGGAAATGAGTGCAATGATGTACTCAGTCAAGCCAGTGTCCATTAAGGACACTTAAAGAAGAAAAACAAAACTGCTTGGACCAAATTGATTGCTTCTCTGTGCTCAAGTTTGGAGCAGGAAAGGGAGGTGCAGGTGATTCAGCCTGTGCTGACTGCCTGAAAGGGTCCCTGGGGTTTGCTAGGGAGGCAGCTGCTGCTGCACTTTAGCCAGAAGCCGATGCTTTGGCCAGGCCTCTGGACAGGAAACCACACGTGGAACCACTTTTCTCCCACTGTGCTCTGTGCACTACAAGAATCCCACTGACCCGAGCCAGCCTTGCTCAGGTCGCTGCACTCAGTTCTCCCTGCTCCCGGCCCCCTTCACACTCAAGTGCGAGGACCCGGGCCTGCTTCCCATCCAATCTGCGATGCGCAGGCTAGCACAGATGGTAATGGGGGTCTGATCAGGGAGCCAGAGGAACTGGTGCTCCATCTGGTCGTGATGCTAGAAATGTCTAATGTTTTCCACTGCCCGAGCCCCGGCTCTGCTTGTCCTTTGTGGGTGGCTGTGGCTGATCCCCCTAGGCACTGCTAAATTTTCGTTGGGGTTGAGAGGCATATTTAGCTTGTGGCTCAGAAAACTGCAGCCCCCTTTATTTCTGATCCCTGTGGAATTGTAAATTGTAAGGATCCCCTGGGGAAATGTGTTGAGATTCTGGACAGACAGTGGCAAATCATGGTTGAAAATGTGGGATTCTGGTCTCATCAACAATATATCTAATAACACTCTGTTCTCTTATTTGCTTTTATTTACTTATTTATCGTTTGGTTTTTCTGAGACAGGGTCTCACATGGTTCAGGCTGGCCTTGAACTTGCAGCAATCCTCCTGCCTCAGGCTCCCGAGTGCTGGGATTATAGGCATGTGCCCCCATGCCAGGCTGCTTTTTACTTTTTATTCAAAGTCTCTTTATTCTATAACAGAGAGATGCCTAGGAATAGAATACACATTAACTGGACCCAGGCAATCGTCATCGACTGTTGATTGCAAGTTTGTTTTCTATTCCTTGGTTTCTTTATTTAACCCTCATTTAACCATGCTCATTGGAAAAGGCTTGTTCCCAGGCCATGTCACAGATGTGCCGCTGCTGGAAAAATGACGCCTTGAGAGCATGCTTTGCCCACAGCGAGTCCCTGGGCACCTGCCCCCACTTTGTCACATCCTTGCTGACAGATGGTGTCCTACCTCCCCTGTTCTCTAATGCCACAGACGTCATTCTCAAACACCTTGCTGTAAGGCACATATGGTCTGGAAGTCAATGCACACTTACTCGGAAGGACCAAATTGGTTCCTTTCTTCTCTGTGAGCCTGTGCTGCCCAGTCCTGTTTGCAGTGTGCCGTGTTCACACTGATGTGCCTCTGTTCTCCCCACAGCCCCCTCCACATTCTCCTGGGAAATTGCCCTGGCGCCCCTGTCGCTGGTCCTCTTGGTTTTGGGGGGCATCTGCATGCACCAGCTGTGTAAACGAAGATCTGGAAAAGCATACGGTCTGACCACGCTCAGGACTGGCTTCCAAGACTTCCATCCTATCCCAGAAAAATAAAGGAGTTAAAATGATACAAACTCGATCCCTGTCCTTTCTTATGGAAGTGGCTGTGTCTTTCCCACAGAACTCTGACATTTCTCCTTAACAAAGCCCCTCTGTTTGCAGTGAAGGACTGCAGTCTTATCTTTAATTTTGTTTTTTTCCTGAAAATCAATGACAGAAGTGAATGTACACAGTGAGTATGAGCAGCTCTCTGTACCTGTGACCTATTTAAAAGAACGAACGAGGTGCCCTTTGACGTGAGTAAGACTGGAAACCACTAAGTGGGTTTTGAAACTCATCCATTCATTCAACAGAAATGCACCGAAAGTCGATTTGGTCAGGCTCTGTGGGAGATATGAGAGATACAGAGATGGTTAAGGCATAGTTTGCCTTTCAGGAAGGAGGAAGTCCATTTTTATTCTGGAAAAGGTGAGTTAGAAATGCAAAAACAGAAGAATCAGCAAGAATTGGTGAATTCTATGGGAAAGGTGGTACAAAAAAATAGCAATTGAAGTACAGTTAGGATGCTGGATGCAACTTCATAACAACACTTCTGAAAATAAAAAGAAAAATGGGCATTGAGATAACTGTACACACTGGAAAAATATAATCAGACCCTTTATTATATACCAAAAACAATTCCAGAGGGATTAATTAAAACAAAATGGAATGGAAGAAAACTTCACATGGTTCATATTCTATCTAGTTAGCCCTGTGTCCAAATCCAACCTTCTCAGAGGCCACTTCTCAGAGGCATAGTGCCCTTCTGTCCCTCTCTATCCCTGCCCCTTGCTTGGTGCCATCACAGCTTTTGACACCAGCCCCTGCACCACATGTTGGCTGGTTTGTTTTCTGCACTCATCACCTAGAAGAGGACCCAGCGGGGCAGAGATGCATCCCCCATTGGGGAAGCAGGTGTGTGATGAGAATCTGTAGAGGAGATGGAAATAGCACCAGCTGTCCACGTTCCCCACCAATAAAAGACCTGCAACAGTAAAAACTGATGGGCTTCGCCATAAATAAAATGTGAAGGAAATTAGGTCACAAGGTATTAACTCTAACATATGGAGTTATTTCAAGTTTTAAGAAGGGCATCTCTCTGTCTGTTTGAGCTGCTATGTCAAACAGCACACACCAGGTGGCTGATAAAGAACATCAGTTTATTTCACACAGCTGAGAGTCCAAGACCAAGGTACGAGCAGGTTCTGTCTCTGCTGAGGCCTGCTGCCCGGTCTGTAGCTGGCTGTCCATAGGGACCCACCTCAAAGAGCATCCCACTGTGGGAGAAGGTTTCAGGAAAGGGTGAAGTGTTCCATTGAGGGTGAAGGACATGGAAGAATAATAGCTTCAGTAATAATCTGATACAGTTAGAACAGTTTAGAACTATGGAGCTTAACTGTGCAAAGGGTGACCAAGGCTGATAGGAAGTAGTAACTCATGCCCTACAATTCCACTTATAATTTGGTAACGGGAGGGAAAAAGGAAACATGGATCAGACCAGTCCAGTGGGACCCGGGCCAACTTGCGCCTCCTTGCAGGTGCCAAGAATGTGCGTGTCTTTCATCTCTGTCCAGGGATGCCACGTTGATAACTTAGATGTCAGCCACCATGGGAGCATCTCACAGAGATGGTGGCCAGTGCCAGGATTGGCATTCTCCCCAGACAAGGGTTAAAGAGAAGCCAGTAAGGCTACTCCTAGGACTTGTCTTAGGAAAAATCTAGTAAAAGAAAATGAATAGATAATATGAAATAATTTAGTAAAACTTACTCTCCTACAGCAATTATCAATTATAATCATCGGGGTTGTAAGGCAAATATTTATAATGGTAAGAGGATATTGTTTTGTATAATATGATAGCTACAACAATACTCAACATTGCATAAGACAAGCAGGGAAGTTAGAAAAAAAGGACTTTGAAGATGGATTTCTTGGGTTCATTTTTTTTTTTTTTTTTTTGGTACCGGGGATTGAACTCAGGTCCTTGCACTTGTGCAGCAGGCGACGAAACCACTGAGCTAAATCCCCGGCCCTCTTGGGTTCACTTTTAAGCTCTGTCATGTGGTTCTAGACAAGTCCTTTAATCTCACAGCACATCAGTATTCTCATTCGGAATATGGGGGTGATAGCAGAAACTACTTTTACTATTTAGCTATAGTTTGTATTTTTATATTATATATTTTGATCTTTTAATTTTAACTAAGCTATTTAATAATCAAGACATAGGAGGAATAGATATGAGTGAAAATTGTTCAGACCGAGTGTGGATGGACCCCAGATGTGGTCCAAATCCAGTTTGTCCTCTTTCTGTAAATTTCTTGTAAGTAGAACCTGGCCACATCTGCTTATTTATGCATTGTCTTTGGCTTCTCTTGCTCTCTGAAGAAAGAGTGGCTGAGATAGCAAAACCCAAAATATTTACTACCTGCCTCTTTACAGAGAAAGATCTCCAATCCCCTGGTTTAACCCAAGAGAGCTGGTGGCAGTTTCTGAACCTCACTTCTACATTTCCCCACTATGGTTTCCTCTTTCCTTTCCCTCCCATTTTGTAAGTGCTTGATGGTGAAGAATTAGGAAGAGGAGGCTGAGGCTTCAGGGCACCTGGCCATGATTCTGCCCATAAAAAGAGGGAGAATGGGCTGGAGATGGAAGGGCTAGATGAGCACATCGAAGAGCGACTGCGCTGCCTGTGCCTCTGCATCTGTGGTGAGCTGTGTGCCTTCCTGAGGAGGAGCCCCCTTCCCCGAGCAGGCCCCCCAGGACTTCCCGACTGCATCTCCACTGCAGGGGGAACGCATTTCTTCCCATCCTCTGGTCCAGAGGTGTGGGCCACACCATTGGAAAACTTCATGACATCTGGGGAATTTTAGGTGGTAGATTTAGGGTCATATTAAGGAATAAGTATGATATTGGGATGGTTATATTTAAAAACAAAAGAGTTATTATATTCCTAAGAGGCATAATGAACTATTTAAGGGATGACATCAGAGATTTGCTTGGAAATTATCCAGTGCTGTTGGGTGGAGAAGCGATGGAATAAGATTGGCCATGTGTTCATAATTGTTGACCCTGAGGATGGCTACAGCAGGCTTCCTCTACCATTCCCTCTACTTCTGTCTAGGTCTGGAAATGTCCAAAGTGAAGAGTAAAATGCAGAGTAGGAACACCCCAAATAACCTGAGGCAAGAGGGTGGGTCTAAACAGCAGTGAAAGAACACAGTAGAATTTTTGCAGTGGTAAAATAAGTAAACTACTATAATAAATAAACTTCATTCAGTAATACAGATGAATCTTAGAAAAATATTATTAAGTAAATAAGTTCCAGAAATGCTGGTTAGAAAAATACTATTAAATAAATAAGTTCTAGGTTTATCTTATTTATAAATGACCAGTGAAGAATACGTGTCTAGAATGAAGGATTATGATTAACATAATTCTGTGCACTTGAGTCCAAATTGAACTTATAAAGAACAAACAAAACTGCCTGGTTTCTTATTTTAACATGAGTGATCTCTTGTATTTTATGTTGATTTCATTGTTTCAGCTTTTGGAAGGATGGGTTTTTTCATAGCACCTCTACAAAACAGTGAGAGAGTATTGGTAGATAATGCTTGAAATCTCACCCTTCCATGAACCACTTACAAGAAAAAAGCACAACACAAGCTAAGTAATAGATGTATTAAGATGCCATCTCCTGAAGAATGGAAGGCGACCATGGATATTGGCAACAAGGCAGCAAAGGCGATGTTTGCATTAAAATGTGAATCTGATATCTGGCATCTCAGATGCCATGGGAATGCACAGGGACCCTGTAAAGTGCAGGAAGGCTGTGTTTCTACCCTCTCACTCCATGGCTGGGCATCTTCGCTCCCAGCCCCTGGCATGGCTTTGTGCATTTGCACAATGTCTGCTAATGGACAAACTTTTTTTCTGGAGTTTCCTGCCAGCGTGCACTGCCGGGATCCCAGTAACATGGCTCTGCCAGGCTTCCCTCCCACTGCTCTCAAACTCCTGCTGATTTCCACCATGACCTCCTGCCAACAGCTGCCTTGGGCACACAGATGTCCTTGTGTTTCTGTGGTTGTTTTCCTGCTCTGTGGACCCCACCCCTGGATATTTGCTCTCCAGGGCTGCTCCTTACTGTTACCAAGCTCCGAGAAACCATGGTCATCTCACAGAGGGCACTGTACTGTGTGCTGGGGACAAGCTGACCTGCTGCCACTTGGGCTGCAGTTTCTGCCCCCTGTGGTGCCACTGCTCCCTGTGCACTCACAGAAGCTCCCTTCCAAATGCACGTGGTCACCAGCCTCCAAAGCAGGGGTGCTGGACCCTGACCTCCCCCAGGGCTCCGCTCCCAGGGCCTGCCACCTCCCTTGCCTACCTGCAAAACTCACTTTCTCTGTGTCTTCAGACAAACCAGAGCCAAACCAAGCCTCCTGCAAAGAACCTCCTGGTGCTATTGGTTCCCCAAATCCCTGGCTCTGCTTCCCAGGCATCCAGGAGAGGGGCTGAAGCAAAGTGGGGGGTGGGGGGAGAAAGCTTCAGATCAAATAAAGGAGGAGGGAGAAAGAAGCAAAAATGAAAAGAAATGCAACTTGAAAGTGTCTACAGTGTGTGAGATTTCACACATTTTGCCCAATTTAATTCTCAGAAGCATTCTACCAGATATGTATTATAACCCACCAGTTAGAGGACAGGAACCTGAGCTTGGGTTTACTGTCACAGAATACAGAGTGGCCTAGAGGGGCACCAGCTTCCTAACACTAAATTCCGGGATGGGAGCACAGCTGGAGAACAACTGGTGTGGGCTGAGGTCACAGCAGGAAGGAGCAGAATAAGTATTGGCTTTGTTGGAGGCTGCTTGGCTACCAAGAGGAGGGGAGAGGAGCTGAGCAGTACCACTCCCTCTCTCTGCCAAACTCACTGGAAGTGACGCCAACAAGGAGCCTGCCCCAGGGAAGCAGCAGGAATGCTAACCGAAGGCCCTTCTCCTCTCCAGTATTTTGCTCTTAGCCTATGGGACCGCTGGCCAGCCCA